AGTTGCAACCAGAGTCACGGAACGGATTAAGTTCGTATCCCGAGGTACCACTGTACATTTAATAATTTGGGCCCTCTACCATTTTAGTAAAAGGCAGCCCATTCGTAAGTAATTTCCCAGTTTATCGTACAGTCCTGGTATTTCATTGTAGAACAGGTTCAATCCCACTCAGCTTTTCTGAGATCACCCATCAACTCAATTTTCTATATGATTTACCAACATTAGCAATTCTACAATAAAGTTTGATAGCAGGGGAAGAGAATTTTATACTATCCAAGGTAAGAACCCCAAGGACTCCACAATTCAACCCTGAGCTACATATATTCTCTTCTATTGGTAAGTCTGTACTCTCCACAGTATGTATTCTTTCAGCACTAGTTAATACTGATTCAATTTCAGGACAGCAATTAATCTAGTTCCACTTTCCTTGGTTAATCAATTTTCCACCTACCAAAATATCTAATATCTCACTAACATGGAGACAGTTTTAACTAACAACTGCATTTTACAAGGCTTGAAAAACAGAAGACCACCTTTGGTTAGTTTGCTTTGGGAGGGGTTTTTTATAGTATAATTTGCATATCTATAGACTTCTCCCACACTCCAATCAAAAATAGTCTACCATTGCATAAGCAAATCACATTTTCCAGTTTTACTGCAGATTTTGAGCCGTCATGAACAGTTCTTGTAACTTTTAAGTCTGCATATTATTTTGTAAATCTTCCTCTGGCCTTCATAAGGTATTGGCTTAATACAGTGTTAGATTGCGTTTCTCTAACTCTCCCGCTCGACGAACAGAGCAGCTTTTGTTTTGGTTTTTTTTAAAGACTGGCTACACAAATCACCCACAACTCAACACACGATTGGTTGCAGGGGAGGAGAGAAGAAAATAAACGGTTTTGCTTTAGTCTCCTGCTTTCTGCTAACAGAAACTAGCTGCCATCCTTTCCCACATAACTAACCAAGCCCCTGGATTCGTAGCGTTCCCGGAATTTCTGGAGACTTTTGCCTGCCATCGGAGGAATTCTGTCTCGGCGAAGACGTTAAGCTCCACAGCTGGTCAACTGCATGACTTGAAGCCGTCAGAAAGGCCCACTCGCACTTACAAAACTAAGACAGACAGAATCGGCCGACAAAGAAGAACGTAACACGCGGGTGTGAGCCTTACACGCATGCAGTACGCTTTATCAAAAGCAAAGGATGTAAAACAGACGGAAACGGGATTTAATTGACTAGAAGATCCCAATGCGCCTTTCCATGTGTTGCGCATCCAGCGAAAGAGTTACCCTTCCTTTCCACCCTGCTGTACTCTTGCAACAGTTTGAGATGCCCAACCGAAGCAGGAAGGCAGGGCTACAAAACAAAGGCGCTCTCCAGTTACTATCAACTTACAGAGTTGCTACCAACCATTTCCTCGAAATAAGACTGGAGGCATCTGTAAAACGGAAAGCCCCCCCCCCGCCCCCAGCTTACAGAAGATCCATAAGCGGGTGCGCCGGGACCGATTCTGTTCTCACAAGGCAGAGGCACCATTTCACGCAGTCACTACAATAGCACGTTCGGGCCCAAAAAAACTGCTCGCCCTGACTCGGAAAGCTCAGAAGGAGAAAAAGCACCATCTTTACCTGTGAGACCAAGAAGAAACTGTAACCATAGGTCGGTTCTAGGTCCTCCCCCTCGGAAAGCCTCCGCCGACGGCCGACCCCGCCGTGCAACAATAAAGAGCTTCTTCCCCCACGCAGGCTGTGCGCACGCGCACTCCCATCCTCCACGGGGCTGCTTCCTTTTCCAATCAGCTTCCTCGGCGCTGAAATTGGATACGCGGAGAGCACCCGAGATCCGCCGTCTCGGCCAATCCTGAGTCGGCTCGCTTGGTTAGACGGGGTGGGTTGCTGTCGCTCGGGTTGGTAGCCTGGGTCTGGTGCGTCGAGGTTTTGGTGCGGGCGATTTCTCAGGGGAGTGGTCCTTCATGCCCCGAAAGGGAAGGAGCGACCCTCTTTGCCGTCCAAAGAAACGAAGGGGACGCGGGGAGAGGGAGGACGTGCATGCGCCAAGCAGCGCCCCTCCCGCCCCACTTTCTCGGCTTAGCATAGTGGAGAGACTGAGCAGTAAGGGCACTGTGAAGGCCGAGACGGGGAGCCGGGAATGAGTGGCGGGCGCGGCCCACGGAGGGTTTGGTGGTTTCCTCGCATCCGCCCGCCTTCCCCCCCTAGCGCGGGGCCGGCGGGGTCTTCTTGTGTTC